TGTGTGTGTGTGTGTGTGTGTGTGTGTGTGTGTGTGTGTGTGTGTGTGCGTGCGTGCGTGCATGCGTGTGTGTCACACACACACACACACACACACACACACACACACACACACACACACACATTTATTTATTTTTTTATTTTTTCCGGAATTTTCAGAAAAGTCCACTTTCATCTCTGAGTGTTAAACGAAACATCACAATCTTAGTATTTCAACAGCATGAAAGCCAATCCCAGGGGTCTCAAACTCAATTTACCTGGGGGCCGCTGGAGTTCGGGTCTGGTGAGGCTGGGCCGCATCAGGTTTTCCACAATAAATGCATTTATTAAAACACAAGTCCGGCATGCATTGAATGCTTTTGCTTCTGCTCGAGCCTACAGTGCTTTAGTTACAGTTTTCCACAAGGAAAGCTCTGATAAAACATTCCATTGGTCTTAAATATCGTAATTTTTTTTCCGACACAAAAAGATGGAAAATAAATAAATAAACAAATCAAAGAACGTCATTTCCGCTGGTACCAGATCGACTCAGGGTCCTGCACCTGCATATGACGTCGGGCATGGCAGTCTGTGATTGGTTGAAGGTCAGAAACCATGGAAACAAAGTGTTTGTGGTGGCTGTTTAATATAAAATTAAATGAATAGTCAATTTAATGAAATTTGAATAGTTCAGCTAGTGGCTAACATCGAGCTAATTCTAACACGGACACACACACACACACATAAATCTTAGCTTGTGTATATGTAATAGTGCTAGCTCCGTGTTAGCGTCTGAGCACTCATTTACCCTGTTGTTGTGCGTATGTAACATCAGGTCTGGTGCTTCGGAGCACTCGGCTCCGGTGACAGCAACATTGGCATGTTGTTTATCTCTTTAAATGTGTATTCAGCAGCACTAGCGAAGGCAGCAGCGGCGGGTTGTTTACATCCGTGGTGTACACGTTTATTCAAGCTGGTGCGGGCACCATGGGCACGGTCACGTTGCCGCTATCGTCTGGGTGCTCCCAAGCTGTCGGCCTTCGAATGAGGCAGACATAACTATTCAACACGGTAGTGCTAACACATACAGCATCGAGATCAAACTCACGCGGGCCGCACTAACATGAAACTTTCATGTCAAGGTGGGGACCTCAAACTAGCGTCCCGAGACCAATGGCCGATACACTCTTCCCAGAAAATATCGGGTATATCTGGTTAACCTTGGAGGAAAAGTACATCAGATAAAAGTTACATTCTGTAAGGTTTAGGGTGTGGCTCCAAGAGAGAGAGACTTTTTGGGTTTTGGCCCGTTACATATGCCTCCTAATTTTCATCGACCCAGGGGAAACAGAACTGGGGCGGATAGGTTCAATTTGTTGGGTGCGCTTGTGAGCCTTTTATGTATTTTATTCTTTTTTTTTTTTTTTTTTAAATATAATCGCAAAAATCACATTCTAAAATATATATTTTGGCAGGCCTGATGTGTGTTTTGTATTTTTTCACAACTGTTAAAAACATTGTTTGATGATATCAAAAGCTTTGCTTTTGTTTTTCATCTTATATATCTAAAGACAAAACAACCCCAGTTTGAAGACTATCTGATCAAATCTTTCGTAGTTCCTTATAACCTCTATAAAAAGCCCAAAAAATACAGCCAAGTAAAAGAAAATTCAAAATGGTGAACTTCCTTTTGGGGATTTGCATGTGCCTCCAAGAAACTTTTACTTAAGTCTTGGTCTGTTATATGACGATGATGATGATGTACGATATATGGGCTGTTTGTAAAAACTACACAATAATCTAATAAAATATTGATGTTGTTGCCAAGCCTGATGTGTTTGCAAGATTTTGAGTTTTCGTGCATGTGAAATTAGTGTTCTCATGACGAACGGTACATTGGCACGACAACAACGTTCTGCAAAATAACTCACGAACTTAGACTTTGTGGCACCGTAATGGCAAGGCCTTTCGACGAAAAACCACAATATTCGCCATCGGACATGATCAGCATCTTGAGGCTTGAAATTTACACTTTTCAACGGGTTCCGTGCAGTGCATTAATAAAAAAAAAAAAAAAAAAAAAAAAAAGACACTACTAGTCGCACTAGGTGGTGCGACATGTACAGCAGAATATTACACAGATGTCTTAATGTTGCGACGATGTACATTTGAAGTTTGGGATTTTTTTTGGGAGCATGTGCAGGTAAGTTTGTTTAACGTAAGGCCCCAGAGACTTTTTGTGGGTCTTGGGTTGTTACATGTGCCTCCAACTTTTGGTAGCTCCTTGTGAAATGTTCTACGGGTCTTGGGTTGTTACATGTGCCTCCAACTTTTGGTAGCTCCTTGTGAAATGTTCTACCATGACTGTTTCATAAAAAAAATTGGAGAGGGTGCAACTCAGTCATTTTTTATGCTCACACTCAGACCTAGGGACAATTTAGAGTTCCATTAACCCATGCTTTTGGAATGTGGAAGGAAACCAGAGTACCCGGAGGAATCCCACACAGGCACGGGGAGAACGTGCAAACGCCATACAGCAAGGCCGGAGCCAGAATCGAATCCTGCATCTCTGCACTGTGAAGTGGATGTGCAAACCTATCGCCCAGTGCCACCGACAGTACATTAAATTGTAAAAAAAAAAAAAAAAATGACACTTGGTGGGACTATACAAATAACAATATGATCATATAGATTTCTTCCGGTCGCGACGATTAATGTACATGTGAAGTTTGGGATTTTTTTGGGGAGGATGTCGAGGGGAATTATTAAAGGTTTCCTCCTTGGTGGCGAAAGAATTATGTAACACAAATGTTGATGACCCACCCCCATCATACAGTATTTCGAAAACTCATGACTGTTGTTGTCCCAGGTCTTAGGATGGTATAGCCAAAGTTTGAAGTCAATCGTATGAATTCTCTAGGCCAGGGCTGCCCAACCACTCGATCCACCGAAAGCTCGCGGACTGGTGCCATGTCGATCGCAAGGGTTGAAGGCGGAAATGGAAAACAAATTTGGATTTGTGTGTCTGTGTGTGTGTTATTGATATTATATATTGTTGTGTTAGTGTACACACCACCCTACGCATCCTATCAGTTTCACTTTTACAAAATGAAATGGAGGCATGTGACCTGCATCACCAGAAGTTGTTGGCTGTTAGCAGTCTGCAATTTGACACTACAATCAGAGCTGTTGCGAGATACAGTGATCCCTCGCTACTTCGCGGTTCACTTATCGCGGTTTCAGTGCATCGCGGATTTTCCCAAAGTACTAGTGTAGGAGACTGTTTATGTTATTCACTTGATTTTCTGTTTTGTTGCATTATTTTTGCTTTCCTGAGTGTCTTTGAAGTAATCGTTAATTCACGTTTTTTCTGAGGCGGTCTTCGAACGCCTCTGGAGTTGAACGGCAGTTGAGAAGGCGCGTAGTACAACATCGACGTGTCTGTATTTGCTTCAGTGTGAAACAAATTAATAAAGTGAATGTTGTGAAAACCACCACGACAGCTCTGTTTACTTTGGAGCTGCAACACTGTACTCAGAAAAAAAAAGGCTGAATGACTCTGAGATTTTGTACATGCCTGTACTGTCTATGCAGCGGGCACTCATTCAAGGCGCATGATTGGTTCCTGGTGCGACATCGACCATTGACAGCACCGAGTGACCGCATCTTCGCAGTCCCGCCCAGCACCTTAAGTCTCATCACACCAGTGACTCTGGCATACTGTCTCTACTGTTTTTTCTACATGCGCGGCTGGAGCGAGAGAGGGGGCGGGTGTGGGCTTGTCCGAAAGCAGCAGCACGTCCCTCTTCGCCTCCTCATCAATACTGATTAATTGTCTTATCATTAACATATCGTCTGCGCGGAGATAGCTGGTCAGGAGCTAGCTGGAGTACGGTGGCTACAACGTCAGAGCGTCAAATGAGGGCAGCCTTCTACACCACCAGTCTTTTCCTTTTGTCTCAGAAGGCAGTGCTGATGAATGTTAATGACTGTATAAGGTTTTATAATTAAAGATTTAAGCAAATATGTGTACTGCTATAGTCTTTGTCTCAAATATGTAAAGTATAAATACTGTTTACATATTTTAAACATAATGTTACGCACAAACCCTTACACAAAACCTCCGAGTGGGGGCAAACGCGACTTCGCGGATTTTTGTTTTTCGCGGGGGATCTTGGTCCCCATTAACTGCGATAAGTGAGGATCACTGTATATGTATGTGTGTGTGTTTGTTGTGTGTGTGTGTGTGTGTGTGAGTGAATGGGCGCTGTCAGGTGCTGCTGCGCCAGCTGCATCTGGAGCCATCTGTGTCGAGGCTCTGTGGGAGTCGGGCGGATGACTTTAATGTACTTGAA